GCGGGCGGCCCCGCTCCAGCCCCGCGCCGGACGAGGACGCCGAGGCGGCGGGAGCCGAGCAGGGTGGTGATTCTACAGAAGCAACCGCCAAACCAAAGAGAAGTTTTTATGCAGCAAGAGATTTGTACAAATACCGACACCAGTATCCACAGAACTTCAAAGATATCCGATATCAAAATGACTTGAGCAATCTTCGTTTTTATAAGAATAAAATTCCATTTAAGCCAGATGGTATTTACATTGAAGAAGTTCTGAATAAATGGAAAGAAGATTATGAAAAGCTGGAGCACAATCATACGTACATTCAGTGGCTTTTCCCTCTGAGAGAACAAGGCTTGAATTTTTATGCTAAAGAACTGACTACATATGAAATTGAGGAATTTAAAAAAACAAAAGAAGCAATTAGAAGATTCCTCTTGGCCTATAAAATGATGTTAGAGTTTTTTGGAATAAAATTGATAGACAAAACTGGAAATGTGGCCCGGGCCACGAACTGGCAGCAACGGTTTCAGCATCTGAATGAGTCCCAGCACAACTATTTAAGAATCACTCGTATTCTTAAAAGCCTTGGTGAGCTTGGATATGAAAGTTTTAAATCTCCTCTTGTAAAATTTATCCTTCATGAGGCTCTTGTGGAGAATACTATCCCCAATATTAAGCAGAGTGCTCTGGAGTACTTTGTTTATACGATCAGAGACAGAAGAGAAAGGAGAAAGCTGCTACGGTTTGCGCAGAAACATTACACACCTTCAGAGAATTTTATCTGGGGGCCACCAAAGAAGGAACAATCTGAGGGAAGCAAAGCCCCCAAAATGCCCACACCTCCTGGCTCTGGTCACAGCAATCAAACTTCTATGCACAAAAAATCCAAGGAGTCTAAAAATGCCTCCTCAACTGTTCATTTAAATAGCAAAACAGCAGAAGGAAAAAAAGTGGCCCCTAAAGAGACGGGTGAGGAGGCAGAGAAGCCCAGAGCAGAGCCCAGTGAGGAAGCTGCCAAGTCCGGAAATGGCGAGAAGGGCAGTGATGGTGAAAATTCGAATTCCCAACCAGAAAAAACCATTGACAGTCCCACAGAGAAAAATGAGAACGGTTCCCCTTCTGAAAAAGAGGAAGAGGATGAAAATACTAGCAAAAACTGTGAAAATCCTGGGAATGCAAGTTCCTAAGAACTTCACTCTTACAGTGAATTAGCAGAAAAGCCACAAACCCATTTAGGTAAGGGGAACAACCAAATCTGTAGATTTTTTTTTCTTAAACAAAAATAAGGTTACACTTACATTTCAAAATTTAGTGTCTGTTTTGTGATTTATGTTAACTTTTTTTTTTTTACCTTTTGGATAAAAATGACTATGTGGTAGGAAGTCTTAATATCAGATTGAATAAATATGTTCTGTAATGCAAAAAAAAAAAGATTGACATTGTTGCTTTTTAGCACTCTGGAGAGGTCTTTGACAGCAGATTTTCTTAGTACAACTCATCTTTTGATTTCTTTTTTTAATTGTGATTTTAATGAAAGTTTCTAGAGAACTTGGATTTCCATTCATTCATTGTTGTACATTTTCTTCCCTTCCCCTGCCAGTTTGCTTTTCTCTTTGAAAAAAAAATATTCTTTGTACAATTGTTGTACAATTCCCCATCCCCACCCCAGTCCACTTTACTATGCAGCTCTTATTCTGTACTATTACCATATAAATA